ATATATATATATATATATATATATATATATGTTTGGGCCTATTTCTGAATTTCTTGTCTATTGGGTTGTCTGTCTATTCATGCACCAGTACCAACTGTTTTAACTATGTGGCTTTACAATATCTATAGTTTTCCTATAATTTCAATATGTGGAAACTTGCTCTTCACCTTCTTTATTCTTTTCAGAATTTCATTGAAGGTTTTTGAGCCGAGGAATGACATGATCTGATTTGGGTTTTTAAAAGATCATTCTGGCAACAGTGTAGAGAAAAAACTGCAAAGGACAAAAATGGAAGCGGGATGACAGGTAGGTCATTGCAATAATCCAAAAGCATGATGATGCTCAGACTAAGAAGGTGGTAATGGGGGTGGTAAGAAGTAGGGATCACTGGAGAGAAGTCTGGGGGGGGATAAAAGGGTTCTGTTTTCGACATATTATTTGAGATGGCTGTTAATCATCTAAGTGTAAATGTCAAGTCGGCAGCTGGATACATGAATCTGGAGCTCAAAGGTCAGGGTAAGAGAAATAAATCTAAATAAATCTAGAAGGAATCAACCACCATCTAGAGGGTGTTTAAAACCACAGGACTGGGCCAAGCAAAATGGTTCACACCCTGTAATCCTAGCACTTTGGGAATCTGAGGTGGGAGGATGGCTTGAGACCAGAAGTCTGAGACGAGCCTGGGCAACATAGCAAGATCTCATCTCTACTAATAATGTACAAAGAGCCAAGCATGGTGGCATGCCACTGTAGTCCCAACTATCAGGAGGGTGAGGTGGGAGGATCTCTCAATCCTGAAGGGTAGAGGTTGCAGTGAGCTGAGATCACACCACTGCACTCGAGACCCTGTCTCAATCAATCAATCGATAAAACCACAGGACGGTATGAGTTCACTAGAAATAATGTAGACTGAGAAAAGGGCCAAGTATGATGTCCTGGAATCTGAGTGAAGAAGGTATTTCAAGAAAGGAGGAAAGAGTGACTGTGTTAAATACAGTAAATTGACCAGATTTGGCAAAATAAAGACTGATAGCAACATGGACAAGACCAGTTTCAATGCAGTGATGCAGACAGAAGCCTGACTAGGATGACCTAAGGAGAGATAACAGATAAGGGGGCAGACGCGGCAAGAACAGGCTACCTTTAGAGGAGTTTTTCCATAAAGAGCAGAGAAAAGGGGTAGTTGCTGGAGGGCCATGGTGTTAAAAAAGGATTATTCTCAGATAAGATGTAGGACTGCATATTTTTGTGTTGATGAAAATGATGAGTAGAAAGGGGGAAAATCCAGAATACACAGAGGACACCTAGAAATCAATAAGAAAAAGATAATTCAACACAAACATGGGGAAAAATTAAAAACAGGAAATTCAAATGACCAAAAACAGAAATGTAAGCAAA